GGTTTTTGCAGTTGAAGACCAGGGTTTGCAACCTGAGACGAGTGGAGGCAGCACAATTTTTACCTGTCATTACCATTCAGGTAGTCCGCAAAGGAGTTGGTTCTGGTGGGTCTGCCCGTGTCTGTCCCCACACGTTATGGGTGTGCAGTGTTGGAAGGGAATGTGTAGATGGTGTGGAGGCAGTAACTGTGGGAACTGGCTGAAGGACATAATCCAAAGCAGCGTTCCTCCTGAGCGTGTGGCAGCATCTTCTCGTGACTGTTGCGGTGGTGTGTTGCCAGTCTGCACCTCCCTGATGCTCAGTTACATGTCTGAGCTGGACTTCAGGAAAGAAAACCCAAACCAATTTTTTTTTATAGAAAATAAAGGCAGTACAAAAGTAAATTTATTATTATTATTTTTAGATATTAATACCAAAATTTATTCTATTTATGTGTTCCTTGTCTCTTTTTAAAGTTCCAGGTCTGTCTCTATGTTCTTCCATTTTTTATCTCCTGAATAAATAGCAGTTTATTTGGTATTGTAGTTGAAGGTCACTAACTGTTTCTTTATCTAGTGAATATTTATTGAATTTTGGGTCTTTTGTATTGCTGTCATAATTCGGAGACTTTTTTACTCTCAGTTACTGAATAGTAGCTCTGAAAACGTACACTGCATTTCATAAACTGAATACTTTCTCACTATAATGCCTCTGTGGTTTCAGATAGTAAGTTGTCTGGAGGTTGCACCACAGGGACTGCTAGGAACGTGAAGAACACAAAATTAAAATCTCTGAATGTTTTTTTGCCTGCAGTATAAGTACAAAGAAGGCTACCGCAAGCAGCTGGGCCACCACATCGGGGCCCGTAACATCGAGGATGATCCAAAGATGATGTGGTCGATGCACGTAGCCAAGATCCAGAGTGACAGAGAGTACAAGAAAGCCTTTGAGAAGACCAAGACCCACTTCAGTAGCCCAGTGGACATGCTGGGAATCGTGTTGGCCAAGAAATGTCAAGAGTTGGTCAGCGATGTAGATTACCGGCACTATCTGCATCAGTGGATCTGCCTGCCGGACCAGAACGATGTTATCCATGCTAAGAAGGCCTATGACCTACAGAGTGATGTGAGTACTCACTGATAAGCATTGGAGTTGTAAAGTGGATGTAATTTCCTTGGAATATAAACTATAGAAGCTGCCTGAACTGTCTCTCTCATATTCTGGTTTTTCACATTGTGTTTTTCTTTACCTGTTCCAAGCAAGGTCATAAGATTTTTAGGAGTGAGTGAATCCATGTGTAAGAAAGTTTGAGTATTTTGAAGGTTTCTCTACAGCTAATCAGTTAGCTGAATATTAAAATTAGCTGCATATAATCCTTCTAATAGACACTCTTAATACCTTTATATGCAGGTTAACTGCATATAAAGACAAAATTGTTTGGTATGATCTCTTTTTTTCAGTTGCATGGCTTTAGCAGAGATAATTCCTTTGTTCTGTCTTGGAGAAAATGATTTAAATTAAGACCTGCTGTTCTTAGTGGGTGACTATTTATTTTGGGGAACGTATGTTACAGGAAAAGTTTATACTGACTTTCAGGGTTTTGTTTTAATCCCATTACTCTTTGACTGTTCCCCAACATGTTGTTGGGTGAATGATACGTCTTGAAGACAGATAAGAGGTCCGAATCTAGACTGCTAACAGAGAATGTTTTGCAGGTTGAACTAGGAGAAAGGCAATTTACAGAATATTTAGATGGGATATATGAAATGTTTACAGGCAATATTAATGAGACAGCTGTCTTTGTATTTTTGTGTGACAGAATTGCTACAAGTCTGACCTTGAATGGTTGCGAGGCATTGGTTGGGTCCCAATCGGTTCCTTGGAAGTTGAAAAAGCCAAGAAGGCAGGAGAGATCTTGAGTGATAAAATATACCGCCAGCCTCCAGACACAATCAAGTTCACTAGCGTCACGGATTCCCTAGCGATGGTCTTGGCCAAGCAGAATGCAGAGACGATGAATAAGGTGAGTCTTGATGGGGTGAGGTCTCCACCTAAACCCTGGAGACAGGCCTAGAAATACAGATGTGTGGTTGCTGTGTGAGGTTTCAGCACAGCAAGGCTTGAAAAATGTAACTTACATTCTTGGTAATCATCAGGTAACTTATTTTCAGCGAGTATGACTTTAATATCTCCCAAGTTACCAGTTTAAATTGGAATTATGAATTTTGAAGCTTTCCTCAAACTCTACTATCTAGTAGTGTTACCTAACTTTCATCTGATTTTTAGTATCGCAATTTGTCTAATCTAATAATTTGTCAAGTTTATCTAGTAATTTAGTAATTAATAAACTACTTGGTTTAGGGCACTCTTTGAAATATCTGTATTTTAAACAGTTCAATATAGTACTGAAAATAGAAGAGTTTTTCTGAATCTGTGGCCCTGATCTCAGTCCTGTTTATGTCAATAAAACCATTTCCTCTTCGAAACAGGCCTTGTTCTTGGATTATAAATCTCCGTGTGGAAGAGTAGCATTCTGAGCCTTTTTTCTGCACCTTTTTTTTAACAGAATTCTTTCTAAGTTACTATTTCTTAACCTGGACATTAATCATCTAGAGGATTGAATATAAAATTTCATTGCTGCATAAGGAATAAGGATTTTTTAGACTTAACAGATCTATAATCCTTACGTTTTAGGAGATCTCCAAGTAGCCACTGTCTGTTTTTTTCCTGTTTAACATACGTTTTTTCTCCTGCAGCGTTTATATACTGAGGCCTGGGATAAAGACAAGACACAAATCCACATAATGCCTGACACGCCTGAAATTACACTGGCAAAACAAAACATGCAAAACTACAGTGTGGTGAGTGTGTTAGCTCTCCAAATGTAACTGGTCTGTTTCATGGCTGGATCATCAGTGTTCTGATAAACCTTATAGAGATGGTGCCATCAGTTTCTTTAAGTAATTCCCAGTATTTATCCTCAAAATTGTGACTTTAGAAACATCATTTGCATGTTTTTGCAGTAGTGCACTGTCATGGTTTAGCCTAACCAGCAACTAAATGCCACACAACTGCTCACTCACCCTTCCCCACCCCTGGGAAATGGGGAAGAGAATTAAAGGGGAAAAGGGAAGGAGTCTTGTGGGTTGAGATAAGTACAATTTAATAGTAACAATAATATAAAATTCAAAGTAATGATGATAATAATATATGAGAAAATATATGTGTATAATGATAATATATACAAACAAGTGATGCACAGTGTAATTGCTCACCACTCGGTGATCAATGCCTGTCCTGTCCCTGCCAATGATCGTGAAACAGGTAAGTCCTGACACTGCAAACCCGAACGAGAGGCCCCCCCCAAAAAAAAATGAGAGAAAGCACTCCAAGAGTCTGAGAGTGAGAGTCCTTGAAAGAGCAAAAGTTCTTCTTTCTGGTCAAGCCTCATCTATATACTGGGCATGACGCTGCATCATATGGAATACTTCACTGGCCAATCTAGCCCTCAATCCTAAATCTCAGTTCAAATGAGAAGGGGAGTTTTGGACCCTTTGTCCCAGCCATGCTCCCCTCTCAGCCTGTTGTGCTCCCACACACTGGCAAAAACACAGCAAGCTGAGAAGTCCTTGATGTCTCAGCACCAACTATAAACGTCAGTGCTCTATCAACATTCTTCTCCTAATGAATCCCAGACTAAAACCAAAACACAGAGCTTTTCTAACTGCTAAAAAGGAACACTTAACTCTGTCCTAGTCAAAATCAGGACATGCATACATACAACAGTGAGCACTATTGAGAATAAATTCTGTAAAAAGTTGTGTGTCTCCAGTGAATTTTTGGGAGTCATTTCTGCCAGCATGCATACTGTTAGGAAGGCACAAAATCAATTCCAACCTTGGAAATACCAAAAAGGTAATTTCCAGCGCAGTTCTCAAGAGCAGTGATCCTAGTGTTCAATATTAGTTTAGGCAAAGAGATTCACATCAGTAAGAGGTGGCTTTAGAAAGTAAGTTTTACTCCACTTGTATAGAAGAACAGTTTATCTCTAAAATTCTAGTAGATGTTCTGTTATTTAAAGTATTGAAAGAAGAAAATCATTAGCAAATGTATTTAGCAAAGATCTTCCTTTGATATGAATTTGTATCAGCTACTGCTCTGGGGCTTTGAGTTAAGAAAGGTAAAGCTGGGTTAGAATAAATCTTAACACAATTTTTAAAATCTGCTTGACTTACAAGCAGTTTCTTTCGCATAGAATGTAATATATGGAATTTACATGTGTCCCGTTGTTTAATTCTTCACCTAGAAACTCTACAAACAAGCCATGGAAGAAGCAAAAAAGAAAGGCTACGATTTGAGGAGCGATGCTATCCCCATTCAGGCTGCCAAAGCATCCAGACAAATCGCCAGTGATGTAAGAAACTACTTTTTTGTTTCTTTCTGTGGTGACATCTGAGCTCTGCAGCCTGAAAGTTATCGGCTGGATTCTGTAAAAGACATTTCAATTAAACTGGGATCCAAAATAGTAGATTTTTGGAAACAAATTGTTATGTATGTTTAAAGACTTAATTGTAAAAAGTAAATGTTGAGAAGTTATTCGTATGATACAATGCTGCTATAATAAAGCTCATAAATCTGTGTCTTTTATTACATCTTAACAGTATGTATATTATTATATTTAATAAGGATTAAGTATATTTGATAAGGAGAGTGTTAGTTCTCATTAATATTAGCGGAGAGTGTTTTTCAAAAATCTTACTTAAAAATCTCTATTTAGGGTTCTAACTCCGATCTCAAAAATTTAGTATGAGAATCCATGTTATTAGCCCCAGAATTGATCTGGCAGTTTGTTTTTTTTCTGATTTTAGATTATAGATAAGTTTGGAGAGTTTATTATTAGAAATATTTGAGTAACTGATATTTACAGGAGATACAGAAATACAATATCTTAATTTATGTTTCAGTACAAGTACAAAGAAGGCTACCGCAAGCAGCTGGGCCACCACATCGGGGCCCGTAACATAGAGGATGATCCAAAGATGATGTGGTCGATGCACGTAGCCAAGATCCAGAGTGACAGAGAGTACAAGAAAGCCTTTGAGAAGACCAAGACCCACTTCAGTAGCCCAGTGGACATGCTGGGAATCGTGTTGGCCAAGAAATGTCAAGGGTTGGTCAGCGATGTAGATTACCGGCACTATCTGCATCAGTGGATCTGCCTGCCGGACCAGAACGATGTTATCCATGCTAAGAAGGCCTATGACCTACAGAGTGATGTAAGCTCATTTTGATTTAATTTTTGGTGAGGAATATATTTGATATTTTAAATAGGTTGACCAGGCCATCACATACCAATGTGGTATGACCAAATTTTGAAGACTTATTTTAAAGTTTTATGGCTAATTGAAACCCAGATCTCCAATAGGATGTGTTAACTAGTTGATATTTAAATTAAATTCTATAATTCCAGATTATGGCCTATTTATCATTTGCCATTCTGTGAAACTTGGATAATGGTTTCACTCTTAATGTAAGTGAAATGCAGTTATTTTTTCCAAGATTTTCTGTAGGGTTTTTAATTTATTGAATGAAAAGTTGATAGTGAGATTACTTAACTGTGAAAAGATGCACTGTGTAAATGGCGTTATTAGAATAACCTTTGTAATTTCTGTGACAGAATTGCTACAAGTCTGACCTTGAATGGTTGCGAGGCATTGGTTGGGTCCCAATCGGTTCCTTGGAAGTTGAAAAAGCCAAGAAGGCAGGAGAGATCTTGAGTGATAAAATATACCGCCAGCCTCCAGACACAATCAAGTTCACTAGCGTCACGGATTCCCTAGCGATGGTCTTGGCCAAGCAGAATGCAGAGACGATGAATAAGGTGAGTCTTGATGGGGTGAGGTCTCCACCTAAACCCTGGAGACAGGCCTAGAAATGTAATGATCCCAAGGAATGCTGAAGTTCAGAGATGATGTATTTCCAAATAGTCTGCTCTGTATATTTCAGTCAAAACTATCAGGCCATCTAATGGAAAACTCAACTTTGTCATGATATTGTGTGTTACATTTTAATCTTTTCTTTGACCTGTCTGCGCAGTGAGCAGTAATAATGCTTCGGTTCATTAATTCTTGAGTAATGTGGCAGTTTTCTAAGTGTTGTTAAGTTTCCTCAGATAATTTTCATTTTAACAATGGTATCCCTACCTGATTAAAAACATGACCGTTTGTCCATGTGATATTTCCTATAATTTTACCTACTATGCTCTATGTTACCTGATTAATGAGATATTATCTTGTTTTGGAATGAAATATGACTTTCTTCTTGTATCCTTTCTTAGCGTTTATACACTGAAGCATGGAATAAAGATAAGACTACGATCCATGTCATGCCTGACACACCAGAAATCCTGCTGGCTAAACAAAACCAGTCAAACTACAGTCAGGTGAGTAAAACTGGTGAGTTGATAGAATTAAAGGATTTCTGACAAGTACAATTTGTCATCTCTGACTTTTAATTAATGTTATAATCTTGTTGAGTTGTTTAGTTTCACAAATTGCCAGTTCCACTGCTAAAATCAGAGTTGCTCTTTCACTAGAATTTACCTTCTGGGTATCTAATTGGGCTTTTTAAATATCTGCCATAAATGGGAAATCATTTCTATAGCACAGGATGAAATAAATGATTCGACTTTTAGCATATTCCTTTCTTTGCCTTCCCTAAATGATTTCCAGTTTCCAAATGTCTACAATATAATTACAAGATCTTTGAAATCTGCATTTTTGTATTTGCTAGAGAAGATGGCGCTGTGTTCAGATATTTAAGTTGTCTGTACATTAACAATATTGTTTAGCAACCTGATTTTGTTTTATTACACAGATGTGGTTAACTGAAGTGTAATTTTGTTCTTGAAATAAAAATGTGAATATTTTTCTCACAGAAAACGTACAAACTGGCTTTGGAGGAATCCAAGAAGAAGGGTCATGATTTGCGTTTTGATGCCATTCCTATTCAAGCTGCCCGAGCATCCAGAGAGATTGCCAGTGATGTAAGCAGTTTTTTACCACATCTGTATGAATTTGTTAATGGAAAAGAACGGGAATGTTTGTTCCATTGTTTGTTAATGCAGTACCTTAAGTTTATAGCACAGGTAATAACTGTAATCCAGTGATTCTATGCATGCCTTAGTACATGAAGGCAATGGATAGCCAGCGTTTTTATGTATATATCGCAGTAATAAATAAATAAAATAGTATGTGATTTATTTTATGCCCTCTGTAATAGTTCCACTGCTGTCCATGGATGTTCCAGGTAGGATGATCAATAAGGTGTACAAGTCTATGCTAGAGATAGTCAAATTAATTTCTGATTCAAAATAGGAAATATTTCAAAGCCTCTCCCCAAAACAGATATATTAGTAAATCAATTCTAAAAGTTCTAAATAGTTGTCTATTCTGGAAAAAATCGTTCTGTTGAAGAGTCATATTGAAATTCAAGATGTCTGAATACAAAACTAGGAAAGAACATACGCAATGACTATGACAGGTTTTGCTTCTGGGATAAGGAAACATCACTAAGAGACAGAGGATAATAGCTTTTTATGCTCCTGGTTTTTCTATCCAGATGGATATTTAATCTGTTAGTATTAAGACCAACTCAGACTCATCAAGGCTTTTGTAATAAGTTTTTAAAATAAGTTAATCTTTACGTTTTAACCTTAATATTAAAATAATGTGGGATATCAAACTTGTTAGTAAGTATTTGACATTAAATGTTTAGTTAATTGAAATTGTGATATAGTTATGTAAAAAATCAGAGATAGTGATATCTGTAATAAAAATCCTTTTTATGCAAAAATTATTAAAACAGTAGAAAGACCTAAATCATATTTTTCTCTAAACAAAATATTAATGATTACGTTAAACTGGGTGGATTATTTATTTATTTATAATTATACCGTGTGAATATGAATATCTTAATTTATGTTTCAGTACAAGTACAAAGAAGGCTACCGCAAGCAGCTGGGCCACCACATTGGGGCCCGTAACATCGAGGATGATCCAAAGATGATGTGGTCGATGCACGTAGCCAAGATCCAGAGTGACAGAGAGTACAAGAAAGCCTTTGAGAAGACCAAGACCCACTTCAGTAGCCCAGTGGACATGCTGGGAATCGTGTTGGCCAAGAAATGCCAGGAGTTGGTCAGCGATGTAGATTACCGGCACTATCTGCATCAGTGGATCTGCCTGCCGGACCAGAACGATGTTATCCATGCTAAGAAGGCCTATGACCTACAGAGTGATGTGAGTAAATTGTTAAATTTGTGATACATCATTAAACATACTGAGTCTTGTACAATATAGTTTTTAAAAGAAATATAATACGCCTTAGTCGCTTGCATCAGACTTGTTGATAGAGGTGAAATGTTTAATATTTGATCATAAAATTTTTTGTTTGTGTTTCTTAGTCCTTAGGTTGAGGTGTCATTTGTGTGTAACTGGTATTTATGAAGTTCTTCAATAAGTCTGTTCCTTTTGTAATTTAATAATTATTTTACAAAATCTTAAAAAATAACAATTGTTTTCAAAACCATATCCTGCTCCTATGCAGAAATATATACAGTTGTTCGTACAGTCTAGGACATACTTAGTTATAGTTATTTTAATATTTGATCACATTTACACATGTAGAATGAACTTTCAAATTTTTTTCAGGCTGTTTACAAATCAGACCTGGAATGGCTAAGAGGTATTGGATGGGTTCCTATTGGTTCCATGGAAGTCGAGAAAGCTAAGAAAGCTGGAGAAATCCTGAGTGAAAGGAAGTATCGTCAACCAGCAGACCAAATTAAATTTACTAGTGTGACAGATTCTTTGGCTATGGTCTTAGCCAAGCAAAATGCTGAGATAATGAACAAGGTGAGGTTTGTGTGTTTTTTTTTTTTTCTCAAGATCACTGGTATTACTGGCTAATAGAACTTGTTCATGAGGTGCAAAATAGAAAGTAGAAAGGAAGACTAAACAGTTTTGATGTGGACTTAGAGAAGATGAGTGTCAAAATTCAGCCTTTGCACACGAAAGCTCTTATCTCAGAGCTCAGTCTGAACTGAACATTTAGTAAAATTGTCCACAAAAAAAAGTCACCTAAATCACATATTTTTCAAGAGTAATACTAAAAATTTTGGTGAATATCTCTCTTCCTCTCATCCCAGCTGAAATCCTATTTTTAAATGTTTGTTTGTTATGTTTTTTTCTATTTTGTTAATGCTACTTCACTGTACAAAGCTCATCTCAGACAGAACAGGCTATATTTTTTTGCAGTTCTTAGACAATACTGTGTAGTCTGCAGAAGTGATGTCCCAGCAGGGTGTTAGGGTATGTCCAGAGATGGTGGTGCCATGACCATACTATAGGATAGCATGTAGCAGAATATTGAGGCTTTTACTGCAGCTGCTATAGTGACATTTTGTTGGCTGAATGTCATACTGCATGATAGACAAGTTATGAGGAAATAGCTTATGTTCTCTGGAAGTGAAGCTTCTGCAATTTATCTCAGACCTGGAGCATGAAAGTCACAAGGTACCTGCTCCTTCTCTTTACTAAGACACATCAGTCAAACAACTCATACAGGTACAGCAGAATAATGACGATAGTTTTCCTCCTACAGCAGTTTCCCAGCAATCCTAAATCAATCAATTGCAGTGCCAACTTAGCCTGAGGAACAACGAGGAAGGACAAAGTTTCCTTCTTGAGCTGTTCAAGGAGAAGCTTTGCTATGTCAGGGTATTTAAAGCTTGCTTGAACTACCCCTCACAGTTTGTAAAGTACTCTCTTTGGACAGATGTGCTAGTTTGGTTATATATATCTTGTTCTGCTTCGAGATTACTTTTATGTTATGGATGTGTTCTTCTTAACTACTGCTTTAATATTTGCAGTCTTTCCATCATGTCACACATAAATAAACTTGTTAAAGGAATGTGTTTTCCTCTCTCCTAGCGTTTATACACAGAAGCCTGGGATGCAGACAAAACATCAATTCACGTCATGCCTGACACACCGACAATTTTGTTAGCAAAGGCCAATGCAGCTAATGTTAGCCATGTAAGAACTTTTAAATATATATTAAAGTAATGGAAATTCAGAAATTAAATAAGCATTTCTTTAACCATAAAGATCTTCTAAAATGTGCATTCATGAAGATTTTAAGAAAAAAAATTATGAAATGTAGAAATTCCATCTTTCAGAATAATGAGAAGCCATTTTCTCTCTTCTTCTGTGTAGAAACTTTATACACAAGCCTGGGAAGAGGCCAAGAAGAAGGGTTATGACATGAGAGCTGATGCAATTCCGATCCGAAGTGCAAAGGCATCAAGAGATATTGCGAGTGACGTATGTTCTTCCCTTGCATTTATTTTCAGTTAGCTTGAGAAACAAGGATGAAATAATAAGCCATGTACAACATAAAAAAAGTAGTATATCAGATTCTTCTTGAAAGCCTGTTAACAAAGAATTTACTGCAGAAAGAAAATGGGAAGCAGTTTCCAAAAGGAACAATGAAGCATAAATCCTGACATGAATCAGATATTAGAAAATAACAAACTACAATGGAAATAAACAAAAGCTGTGGAGCAAGAATTCGCTAGGCATTTCTAAACTCTAAATGAGTATATTTGGTAACATAAAAAAGTCTATTTGTGATAAGTAGCAATATTAAATTGTGGGAAATACATCCCAGATTCACTATTTCTTTCTGCATTTCCAGTACAAATACAAAGAAACGCACGAGAAGCAGAAAGGCCACTACATTGGGTGCCGGACTGCCCAGGAGGATCCCAAACTGTCGTGGGCGGCACGTGCCATGGCGCTGCAGAACGACCGGCTTTACAGGAAGGCGTACCATGATTCCAAGGCCCAGATCCACATCCCAGTGGACGCGATGTCCGTGCAGGCAGCCAAGGAGTGCCAGACACTAGTCAGTGACGTTGACTACCGCCCGTACATTCACCAGTGGACCTGCCTGCCTGACCAGAACGACGTGATCCACGCAAGGAAGGCCTATGACCTGCAGAGTGATGTGAGTGAGAGTAGCTGTAGAGAAGCTTTATGGCGGGTGTTTGAGGCTCTGTTTATTAGTGACTGGGCAAATATCCTTTCAAATGCACGTTCATAAGCCTGCAGTCAGTTCTGGTATGTTTATTTTACTTCATCCGGATGATCTTTCAGTAGTATTTTCAGCATGGGGGCCAGAAGTATTCCAGGCAGTTCATAAGGAAGGGATTTTTTCTGTTCTGCTGTAGGACGTTTGCTTGCAGTTTGCTAGCAGATTACACCACTAGTTTGCATGTAGCAGGTATCTTTAAAAGTATCTTTGTTGCTGTGCAGAACAGAGGTTTAGCTGTGTGGGGGAAAGACCTGACATGCCACGATCTCATTGACTGCTTGTTGTGTAACCGTTAGAGGAGTTTGGGGAAAGCCTTATATGAAACATCTCTGTACGTAGAGTTGTCTCTGCAATGTCAATAACTCTTGGTTCATTTGTAGAACGTGTACAAGTCAGACCTGGAATGGTTGCGAGGCATCGGCTGGTTGACAGAAGGTTCTGTGGATGTGGTCAAAGCAAAGAAGGCCCAGGAGCTCCTGAACGAGAGGCTGTACCGCACGCGGCCGGAGGAGATGAAATTCACCAGCATCACTGACTCGCCAGACGTCGTCCAGGCCAAGATCAATGCTTTGCAGATCAGTGACGTAAGTTTGCCTTTTACTCACCTTTTACTTATGTGAGGACATTTCTTTTCTTTTCTTTGTGGTAGAGATTAGAATTTCTACCTTGGGAATGCCTAATTGGAAACTGATTCAGATCAGAATTACCAGAGAATCCCTGTTGGTGTTTTTTTTCCAGTGTTCAGACTATAGTGAAATGTCATTCTGCTTCCTGTCTCCTTAGCACCTGTATCGTGAAGCCTGGGACAGAGATAAGACGCAGATTTCCATACCTTCCGATACTCCTGTAATGGTGCAGTCCAAAGTCAATGCTCTCAACATCAGCAATGTAAGAGAATAAAATTGCTATGCATGTGAAGCTTTATGAAATTAAGAGTGGCAATTGTTCTCCCGGGTTTTGTCCTATGTCTTTTAGATTTTACTGTAAGCTGCGGTGTACTAATGCCATCTTCTCATGTGCTTGTATTCTAAACCGTAGTTTGCATCTAGGGGCTCTTCAGGCAGAGGTACACTGTAGTTTGCATCTAGGGGCTCTTCAGGCAGAGTATGTTGTTGATGCACCAGTGAGCACTGGTTTTGAACTAGATATTCATTAAGCAAAGAGGCCCAAGCTGTTGATCTGCTGTCCATGCCATTGTATTCTTTCTCAATCCATCTGGATATGAAATCGATGGAACTGGTTCCACAGGGCACACCGGCACTGATGACTTTCCTCCTAAACTGCGCCAGTTCCTGAGGGAGCGACTCATGGGGTTGCCTGCCTTGCTTGATACGTTGTGTGTTCGTGAGCAAACTCCAAATTTCAGTGTGCATTCCACACAACTCCTCCTCCCTTTGACAAAAACTGGCAAATACTTTCCATGGAGTTTTTGTTGGAGTCTCAACTCATCAACCCTGACCTGGTTTGCAGATTTGTGTTGTTTCACTCACTGGTTTTATGGGCCTAACACACTGGAGAGTCTGTAAAGCTGGAAACATTTCTCATTTTGCATTTTCAG